CGGGACGAGAGGGGAGGGTGGCTGCTCGGTCGCCCCCGTTTTCTGGGCTTTCAAACTAGGAAATGGAGCTCGGAACGGGCTTCTGGGGGTGCCAGCACGTCCGTAGCGGCTGCTGAGCCGCCGGGCACCGGCCCCGGGGCGCTCAGATGGGGTCGAGGGAGACGGGGACCGGTGCAGTGTGAGCTGGCAGATCGAGTTGTACGAAGAGGGATTCGTACGAGGAAAAAAAAAAAAAGTTTCCCTTGGAGGAAAAAGCTGGCCTCGGTCTCCCGAGGGGCTCAGGCCCGACCCTGCTCCCCCAGGTCAGTAAAACCCCCCGCGGATTACAGGTGGGAACTTTGTAGCGATAGATATTTCTCCCTCAATAATTTCCACGTCTCTTCATTAATACGAACCAAGGCCCCAGCGCAGGATGAAAGCGAAACTTACCCGGCTGATCTGCTCCAAGTCGCAGAGGGCCTTACTTGCTTCACATTTTACAGGAGCAAAAGTTCAAATATAGTTTACATACCAGTGCGAAAGACTAAGGTGTCCAGTCATCGCTAACTTACTCCAGCCTAACTTTAACTAGAAAACACTCCTTTTTTTTTTTTTTTTTTTTCTTCTTTCCCTGAACCAGACGTATCTCTGCTCCCAAACGACTGACTGCAGACCTTCCCCGTGTTCACAGCCCCTCCTTGCATTTCTTCCTAAGTGCCGTCCTAAATCAGTAAATTAGGTGATGGACGAAGTTTTGATCCCCCTTTGAAATCCTAGTAGTTGTACAACTAGACAGATGAATTAAGATAATTTGTGTAATTCTACTCACCTTCCTGGCTTAACATCCTCAGCAATGGAAGGAGATGAGCTACAGTATACCGGGACTGAAATTAGACGCAGCCCTTCAAAAATAAATGGCTATATATGTGCTTGTGCATGTATTCTTTTATATCATTGCACATATGTGCTTATGGATACACTACATGTATTTATTTTTAGAGTAGGCAATAATTTAGAAATGCGATGTCTTACGAGTTTTGGAACAAAAATATCAGCTCTTTTACAAGCTCATCAGCTCTGTTTCAAATGGCTCCTCTGAGGGGAAAAACATGCTCTCTCTCCCCTTATTTAAATACAGTTGCTACTACATATATGTATTTTTTAGTAGTGCAGAGCATGGAAAGTAAAGGCAATTGACAGCCCGAGCCTTCCGAGCTTGGAGACAGATTCAAGACCCAGATCTCTGAAAAAAAAGGGATCTCGAGTAGCTTTTTTATTTTTGTCCTGTAGTTGCTGATTTTATTAGATGGTGGAAGTAAGGAGCTTTTTTGTTTTGTTTTAGGGGTGTTGTGTTTTGTTTGGTGTGGTGTTTTGTTTGTTTGTTTGTTTGTTTGTTTTGGTGTGGGTTTTTTTTTTTTTTTTTCTGTAAGGGAGCCCCCTGCGCAAGGAACTGGGGAAAGTTCGTGACCACTCAGTGTTTTTGTAGGAAAACTAAGACTCACGACACGACGACTCCTGCAGCTTCCTGCCCTAGGAGGGACAAAAGCTACAAATGCAGCGCTGCAGAGCTCCCCTCATTTTTCACTCTACACTGTGTTGTTTAAAAGCCACCCACTCCCTAGATTAAAGGAGACACAAGCCCTACTGAACTCAACATGGCCTGCTTCAGTTATTAGCAAAAAGAATTTCCTCTCCAGTTAAATACTGTAGGATTTGCATAAACTATATTAAGAGAGATTTCTATATTAAGCAGACCTGCCCTCGAACCATCAGAGGCAAATGAACTTTCAGCAGAGAGCTTTCTGAGGCAGAAACAGATATCTAGGAGTTACATGCTGGGCTTTAATAGAGCCATTCTACAATGCCGTGTTTCCCACGTTGTGCTGCTAAAACTAATAATGAAGCAGTAATAAGGTAAATTGCTCCCTACCAAATCCAAACCGTATTGTTGAAAAATCACAGGAACAGAAAAGAACGCAAAGCCTGTTTCTAACAGTAATTTCCAGGGTGCTTACTGAAACCGAACTTTCTCAAAGATCAGCATTAACAGCATTTTTCTGCCTTTAGAACAAAAATCGTAACTGAGCCTTTGGCATTTTGTATCCATTCCCAGTCTGCTCGGCTTTACTTTTTCATCCCATAGTATTTGCAACAAAAAAGGAAAGCACAGAAGGGGAGGTCTTTCTGCCTAGATTTAATTCTAGAAAACCTCTTCCTTTGACTCTGTCTTTAACTCGTTGTGTGTTTGCAGGTGTGTGTGTTTGTGTACACGTGTACGTGTGTATTTGTGGCAGGAAAACACAGGATCTAACCCTCAGAGTGCAATAGATATGGGAGGGGAGCTGCGCCCAGTGCAGATTAAGGGAGTTCTCGTTACTGAAACGATAACTTCCATCTAACACAATAAGAGTGTCACTCTTTCTCACCTTGCGGAGAGAGCTGCCTGTTTCTGATCATGATATAAAGTACTCGCTGAAGTCTGGGCGTTCTCGAAACACTGAGCTCCTTGCTGCATGTGCTGTAGATGTCACTGCTGTCTGATTGTGCTTGAATTAACACACTGTTTTGACTTCTTGAAAATGCCTAAAGGACAATGCAAAAAGCTTTTGTGAATTTGTTTTTAAAGAAAGAAATCCGGTTTCTTCGTGTTTCCATTTAGAAGGCAGAGAGTGTGTGAACTGTGGAGCAACTGCTACCCCTCTCTGGAGAAGAGACGGCACTGGGCACTACCTGTGTAACGCCTGCGGGCTCTACCACAAAATGAATGGTCAAAACCGACCTCTCATTAAACCTAAACGAAGGCTGGTAGGTGTCTCTGTTTCTCCTGGGTTTGGGGATAAATTAGGCGAAGGGACCACACGCAGGCACAAGTCAAACGTGTCTCATCTCTGCTCAGCCCCTGCGCGGAGCCGAGCTGTACTGTACACGGGGGTCAGTCACGTCGGGGTCACTGCGGTGCCTTGGGGCAGATCTCCCCCCTCCAGCCCTGACGTCCCCAGCACAGACCACCGCGCTGCCGCAGCCCACCGAGCGCGCCTCTGTCCCCAGCCTCCCTGCTGCTCGCAATACATGTGGGGTATCGTGTATCCGTCTCCCCGTTTATCCTTGGATGACAGCTTTTAATTTAATTCCTCATTTGTTTGGCCTCTTGGGATGTTTTGGGCACATACTGGGAGCGAAGGGGTTATGAGCGTGAATGTCCTCCACCATGTACTAAAAAAAAGTTCCAGCTCCAAAAAGCAAAACAAATCAGATGAGTCAAAGCTACTGCTCCCCACTTAATAATTATTTGTATAAAAGCCATGAAGTAATTTTCACTCTTATATTCTCTGGCAATATTAATATTGGTTCCCTCCCCAGACAATCCCCTACTGTTTTTTTAAAAAAAATCCTATTATTTTTCCATGGAGTCACCTATACTTTGTATTTTCATTTGAGTGATTTAAAAAAAATGTCCTTTCTAAGCTCCTGGTAGTAGTTTCCTATCCGGATATCTGTACGTTAAAGATAAGGAAACTTTGTGTATCTGTTTCCTGACTCTAAAAGCTTTAGAGAGTTTCTATAGGCAAGCCTTGCCAGTCATGCTTGCTGTTTTGAAATTTCTAATACGCTCTACTCCACAAATAATGCGTAAAATGCTAAGAATAATAAATATATTTTTTGGAGCTTTGTGATTTATGGTGCCTAAGTCTTTTAGCTATTTGTGGGCACGTTTCAATGAGGTTTGGAGAGCAGAAAATTGGCATTACTGCTGTAACACTGGGATGGGATACAAAGATTTCTGTCGTGAGTCAGAATTTCAACTATGCAAGCTTCTTAATGACTTGCCTTCTAAAGTGACTGACATATAGAAAAATGTTAAGACAACAGTGTAACATTATCGTCTCTTAGGCTCAAGTGCTTTCCAGTCTGAATAGGACAGGCCATAGAGTTAAGCAGCATAGTTGAATATCAGTAAGCCGTCTCAAATATGCAAACATAGGTTTCCACCTTCTAGTGTGTTGGGAGACTGTTATACTTGGCTCACTGCGAGGGGTTTGGGGGGCACTAGATCTAGTGTAGTTGTTTTAATGATTTGTTTTGTTTCAATTGATTTACAGCTTTGTTTATTGCCCCTTTTTCCACTGTAGTTTGCTTGTTTGCGAGGGAGAGGAGATGGCCATCTTTGGGAATTTATTCATCTGACACGCAATAGCAAAGTGATCATATTAATAATGCCAGTGTTTGGACTTCTGGCATTAATTGTGTTTGGGTTGCATGAGTGTACTTGCAGTAGGGGGTACCCCCTCTTACTGCCTTTGGCCTCTTCTCACAGGCAAGTAAGGGACTGAAATATATGAGTCTCCAAGGGCCTGATTCTTGCCTTAAGCTGCTGAGCTGTCCATCACTTTGGGAAAGTTACAGAGGGCCATGATGTAAATCAGGAGCAAGTGAGAACAGAACCCGGTGCTCCTCTTCTGCGAGCCGGGTCTGTCCGTGCTTCAAGTTCTCTCCTGGGAAAGCCGCCGGGCCGGACACTGCTCTCTGCTCAGGGAGACGCCCCGCACAGCAACGTGAGCTTCGCTGCTGCTTCACCCTATGGCTCTCGGTGGCTAATTGCAAAAATATCCAGGCCCTGGGGAAATTGCCACGATTGATATGCACTGGAAAGTAAACTCTGCTAGTTTAAGAAAAGAAAATATTGAGTCCTCAGCGTTAATCCAATTGCACAAAATGGACTGTATCTTGACCACTTCCAGAGGCAGGGCTGAAGCTTTCTAATACAAAGTTATTTCCTAAAATATGGCCTGTAATTAGTCCGCCCGTAACACTTTATACGGTACGATGCTTGCACAAAGAACGTATTATGGTGGGGTGTGCTAGACAAGGGCCCCATCCAGAAATTACTGGCTGCCTGCTGTTCTACTTTTCCTGTTCTTGTTTTGGGAGGTGGGTGAATGTTTGGGCATTTTTCTTTCCCCCCACCTTGGTTTCAGCAGAACAATAGTTTTAGGAAAGGGTGGTGGATTTTTTTTTTTTTTTCTTTTCTTTTAAGACAGTTGTTTGAGGGCTTGTCAGCCAAGGGACAGAGGCGGCAGACGGGTCAGCGGTATCATTGCTGCAAGGCATGAAATTTGGTTTGCTAAATATTTAAAGAAAGTTGGAGCCGGTTTTGTTTTCTCCCTTTCACTTGTAAATGGAAACTGAATTTTCAGTGATGGCTCTGATAAATACTGCACCCAGTTAAGTAATGCGGTTGGTTTTCTTTTGTGTCCATCTTTAAAGGGCCAGAGAGTAGGGGTAAAAATCACATTCTTTAAGATCATTCCTTCTTTTCAAACCCAGTCCCAACATAGACACAAACTAAATCGGTCATTTAAACAAAAAAAAAAAACAAAACCCACAAACCAGCAAACCCCCAAAAAACGGCAAATGCATTTTCATGACATTCTAGAATCCCACAAAGGGAAAACCTGAACAAATCAGATTTCCCCCTCTAAAATTTTTGTGGAGTTGGAGATGCACTGCTTCTCTCCTCACTTCCCCTGCACACATGGTGCCACAGGGCTTGAAGCTGCAGTCCGCATTAGGAGAACACTTGAATTTAAACAAAAACCTAACGGCCGCAAAATGTAAAACTGACAGGAGCTTTCCTTCAGCCCTTAGGCTCTGTAAAATCTCAGTAACTAGTTCTACCCAACCTAAATATTCAGTCCAACTTGACCTTTCTCATGATCTCCCTCCTGCTGATACGTTTTTAATTTTCTTTTTCTTTTGGTTAGTCAGCGGCTAGGAGAGCAGGGACTTGTTGTGCCAACTGTCAGACAACCACCACGACCTTATGGCGACGTAATGCAAACGGGGACCCAGTTTGTAATGCCTGCGGACTCTACTATAAATTGCACAATGTGAGTATTTACTCGTCTCATGTGTCGCTGCTTGCCTAGCTGGGATTGATGTCTTAACTGCATGGTGTATACTAGGCTTTTATTAGTTTCAGGGTTTTGGTTGTTGTTTTATTCCTTCCCCTGTCTCTAAGGTTCCCCTGGGAAGTGACAGCCATTCTTTGTCAGCATAGTGATGCTAAGTTCAGTGACATTACAATGTATTAGCTTGGCTTCTAACGCTTGGGCAAATCAGGCAAAATAAAGCTACCACACTTGGTTTTAACTAAGGGGGTTTTGTGTGCTGTTTCCCTCCAGAAACACAGAGGCCGTTTGGACTGGGCTCTGTGCAAAAATTAATCCTGATTTGGTGTCTTGATTTTGATTTAAAAAAAAAAAAAAAAGGTTTCTAAGGCTTTGTTTTATTATATATATTT